TTAATATAAATTATAATGAATAGATATCTTTACGTAAAATCCTTACGTTAATTTGCAATAAAAATGGTAACAAAATTAATAATATTTACATTTTTCTAATAATATTAACTATTTTATAATAATAATTTTATATTTATTTACTTCTTTTACTAATACATAAAATAAAAATCCTATTTAAAACCAAAAAAATATTTATTAAATTTAAATCTTATCAAGTTAAAACCTAAATAAAATTAATAAATTAAAACCAAAATAAAATATAAAACTATAAAAAATAAAAGGTAAAATTTATAAAAAAAATTTTTATATTTATAATAAAATTACTACTTTTTAATCCGGTTATTTTATTTAAAATTATTTTAATCTTTGATATTAATAATGATATATATTATAAGTTAATTATATTTATTAATAATCTTATAAAATTTTACTATAAATATTATTAATTTAAATTAATTTATATATTAAGCAATAATTATATTTATTTTAAATCTTAAACTATAATCTTTTTTAATAATTAAATATATTATTAATATATTAATAATAATTGTTATTATTAATTTATTAATAAAAATAATTTTAAGATTATTAATTTTTATATTGGACGTATATATGGCGTTAGGTTAGATATATATAAAAAATTTTATATAGGAAAAAATAAAATTATTAAAATATTATAAATTTAAAATTATATTTATTAATATTATAAAGATAAATAATTAAATAACTTTAAATTAAGTTTAAGATTTGACAAAAATGAATTAATATTAATTTTAAAAATTATTTATATATTAAAGATAAATGTATAATTATTAAAAAATATATATTTAAATTATAAGTTTAGGGAATATTTTAATAATTTTAAGTTTTTTAAATTACAGCTTAATATAAAAAAGTAGATAAAATAAGATATACTTTAGCCAAAATATAATATTTGTATAAGGCCATTAATTAAAAATAATTTTGAATAATATTAGTTTATTTATTATATAATTATATTTAAATAGAAAATAAATAAAGACCTTAATATATATATTATAAAAGAAATAATATCCCTTTATTATACCTATTTTATATACGCCAAATTAAAATTTCAGATTTATAATCGAAAGATATTTAAAAAAAAATAGAATTAAATCTTACTTAATATAATACCTATTAAAACTATTTCCTATATTAATTTTATTAATAAATTTAATATTTTCGGTAATTTATATTAATTTTTAATAAATAATTATATTATATTAATTGGATTATATAAAACAGATCAATTTAAACTTAATAATATATATTTATTTATATTTAAATTGTATAAATTAAATTTTATAAATATTATAAAAATACTTAATAAATTTGGAATATTAAATAAAATAATAATATTAAATATTAAAAATAAATATACCATAATATATACGTTTATTTTATATTATATAAAAGATATGTTTTAATAAATTAAAAATAATAAACTTAAAGGCCTTTATAAGATTAAATTTTACTATTATTATTTTATTACATTAATAAAAAATTTTTAATAATTTAATACTATATTAAATTTTAATATTATTATATATAGTTGATACTATCACTAATTTAAATATATATAAAAAATTATAATCAATATATATAAAAATAAGGTTATAAAGGTTATATATAACTTATAATAAAAAATAGTTAATTTTATACCACTATTTAAAACTATTTCTTTAATTTTTAATTTAATACTTTTACATTTATTTAATATAACTTATTTAAAATATACTAAATTAACCAACTTAATATATAATTTTATTTATAACAGTGTATTAATTTCTTTAATAATAAATAAATATATATTTAAATTATAAATATAACTATTTTTATTGGGTAAGTAGCAATTATAATTATTAAAATATTATTTAATTAATTATAATATATCATTTTATATTATTTAATTTATTATTATCCCTTTTTTCTTTTGTAACTAATTTAAACCCTATTATATAAAGGTTAATTTTTATAGGGAAGCGTTTTAAAATTATGAACCAATTGATATTATTATTTAAACTTATATAATAATTATTAAAAATAATTGTTTTTTAATAAGGTCTAAATTATTAAATATTAATTAAATTAATATTTTACAAAGTATTTAAAAAATTAAAAAATTTTTTAATTAATTTTATATATATATATTTAAATTTTTAAATTTGCAGGCAAGGTTTATTATATCTATTTAAGATTAAAATAATTAAAAAATTATTAGAAATAATATAATTGTTTTAAATTGTTTATTATAATATTTTAATAATACCTTTAAACCAAATATTTATATTATATTTTATTTTATAAATTTTATAAAGAAATATAGTTTAATAATAAATTATAATATATTAATTGGGGAAAATTTATATTAATAAATTTATTTTATTTTATTTTTTTTTATATAATATAAAATTATATCTTTTATATATTTATTTTATAAGGTTATCTAAATATTATTAAGATATATTTTTTAAAGTATACTTTAATAAATCGAATTAATATTTAATATTTTTAAATTTTATAAATATTAAATTTAAGAAATAAATAAATATAATATTAAAAAAGTTTTTTTTAAAAAATAAAATATATAAATAATTATATGTTTTATCTTTTAAAACGTTTATAGTAAAAAAAACCCCGATATAATAGTTTAGATATAGAAATTTTATATATAATATTTTACTTTATTTAAATAAATATTTTTTTGCATTAATTAAAATAAATTAATTAATATAGTTAATATTAATATTAATGTTAATAATATGGAAAAGGTTATTATAATATTTAAAAATAATATATATGTTTAAATTATAATAATTAATTGTGTGGATAGAAAGGAATTTATATAAATTATATATCTTATTTAAAGTAATAATTTATTATTTATAAAAAATTATTAAATATTTTTTTTATTTATATTTAAATTTTGCGTAATATATTATTATAATTATAGTTATCTTATTTTATATTTTATAAAATATGAAAATAGCAATAAGATTGTATAGGTATATAAATTTGGGTTTAATAATAAATAGGTTCTTTTATTTTTATTATTATTAAATATTTTTTTGTATAAAATTTAATTAATAATTTATTTATTTTAATATAATATATAAAATAATTAAGATATAATATATTTTTAATAAAAATAATTATATTTAATATAATAATTAAAATTATTTTGATTATATCGATTAAATTTTTATATTTAACGTTTATAATAATATTTATATTTTTATAATAATTATGCCGTTATAATAAATAAGGCTATATAATAAATTATTAAAATTAAAAATATTTTGTAAAATAGAAGAAAAGTTAATTATTATTAAGATTATAATTATTAAATTATTTAAACTATATTTAATTAACGTTATTAATATTAATATTATTAATATAAATTAAAATTTTTATTAATTATAAATAAAATAAATATATTTATTTATAATAAAATTTATTTTAATTAATATAAAATGGTTATTATAAGGTTATAATATAAATATATTTTTTTTAAAAAGATTTGGGGTTATATAATATATAATAAAAATTTAAATTTTATTAATTGTATGTAAATAACCTAATATATTTAATAGTTATTTTTTAGGGGGGAATATTATTTATAAATTAATAATTTTTTATATTTTATAAGGTATATATTTTATTAGTAGTATAGTAAATATTTTATAATTTAGCAGATAAGTATTTATATAATTATATATAAAATTTAATTAATATATTAAATTTTAAATATATAAATATTCCAAAATTTTATTAATAAGATAAAGTTTATTTTTATTTTAAATTTATATTATTATAATATATTAATTTAAAATAAGGTTATTAAAAAAGTTAAAAAAGATATATTATATTTTAAAAATATAATAATGTAAAGTTTAATCCTATTTTAAAATAATATTATTATATATTTATTAATTAATTATAAAATTATAAAGAATATTAAGGAGGAGATATATTATATTTTAAAAAAGTAATAAAATAAAATTTAACCTTATTTCAAAATAATATTATTATAACATATTAATTAATTATAAAGTTAAGAAATATTTATTTATAAATAAAGTTTAAAAAGATATATTTTTTAAAATATATTAGGTAATATTATATATATTTTTAGGTTTATGGTATTATTAATATATATTAATTTATTATAAAACTATATTTAAAATAAAATAAAAATATTATATTTAACCTATTTAAGGTATTAAAATATAAATATTTAAATATTTTCTCTATATTATAATTAATTATAATAATAATTTTAATAATATTTAAAATAGTATATAATTATATATTATAAAATAGAATTTATATATATTAATAATTTTAATATATAAAATAATAATATTATATAAAATAATATTAACGTATAAAATAATAATAATATAAAAAATAATTTTAAATAATAAAACTATATAATTAATTATAATATTACTATCTAATAAAATGATTTTATAAATAAAATGGTTTTTATATATATAATAATTTTTATATATATAATAGTTTTAATATATATAATAGTTTTAATATATATAATAATTTTAATACATATAATAATTTTAATACATAAAACGATTTTAATATATAAAACAATTTTAATATATAAAACGGTTTTAATATATAAAATAATTTTAATATATAAAATAAGGTAAATTAATTCTTTTATTATTATTAAGCGGAATGATTTTACTAAATATAATAGTTTTAGGTTTACGAAATAATTCTTTATACCTCCGAACCTTTTCTATAGTAGTTAATCATTTATTCTTCCTTATTTTTAAGGTTTTATTTAGTTCAATATTCATAGCAAACATTAGCATAGATGATAAAGCCAAGAAAGGCATTTTAATAATTTATAATTGAAATCAAGTTTTGTAACTTTTTGTAGCACACCCTGGGCATGCTTTTCTAAGATCTAATAGTATATGAGATATCGGGGTATCAGCTTATTCCTTCTAATTTTAACCATCTACAAATGCCTCGCTCTTGGCCTTCTGCGCGCTCTCGTCGGTAGATCCGTCCTTGTTAGTTGAAGGGCGGTTTGCAATCAAACGCTGAGCTATGGTTAGTACATCATAAACATCTAGCTTAAGTCATGGATCACATACCACAAGATTTCTAAGCAGCACCGCAATTGTAACTTTACCAACGGAAGGCACGTAAATCGATGCCTTCTCTTTGATAGCGGGCCCATCGAAGTTTCGGAAAGAAGAGAAGTTAATGCAGACGGTTCCATCGCGGATGAGCTCCGTCGGCACCTTGTATTTCTCTGAGGGGACACCACCAATGATGACGTCGCTGATGGGTATGCACTGCTCCAAGGTCCAGCCCTCCTTGTCTTGAACCTGGTGTCGTGGCTGCTTGATGCCCTGACCACGGGTGAAGAGCTGAACTCCTGTTATGTCGACAGAGTACACAGTGGCGCCATCATTGGCAAGTAGAGCGGCTAATGGCCGGCCATTGACCTCGGAGCGGTTAATAACCGTGATAGTTCTCCCAAAAAGTCGGTTTCCATAGGGTAGGATAGAGTTATAGATCTGAAGGTACTCTAAGATCTTAACCACGGCCAGGGGAGTGCAGGGCAAGATAGACTTCTTCAGGTTTTGTGGAGGATCCAGAAACCTGACATTGTAGTACATATTGTAAATATGTTTATGGCAGAGACCCTCAACATCCTTGGAGAGCGAAACGGTCTCCTGAACATAGCGGTCGTGAGCTGGGTTTCCAGGGAAGATGGGATAATAGACGATAATGCCGTCTACTTTGCTGTCCTCGTTGGCATTCATGATTTCTTCTTCTAATTTATCCTTGTCTACTTGACGTAGGTCGAATGTAAATCCGCTAATTATCAATAAGCATGATGCCCCCAGTGTAAGTGAGCAAAAAAGCCCACTGCATTGAGAGCATGTGATTTCTTACTTCTCTTCGCAAGTCTTCTTTGACCATTCAGCATACTTAACAGCTGCCGGGTCATCATTGGCAAGGAAGGCAACTAGGGTGGGTTGGCCCTCGTTATCTTTCTGAATAGACTTCAATGTGTCCTTAACCTCAGTGAGGAGCCCTTTGGCAATGGTCTCTGCCAATATGACCTTGCAGGTCTTTGGTACATCTTGCGTAGCCATCGTTCGGTAGGGAAAAAACTAGACTAAATCAGTTGTTATATCCTCCTGAATAGGTAGATATCTATGAGGATAAATATTATAACAGGTATATAAGATAGATTATAATAGAAGAATAGAGATTCTAGAAATTATATCTCAAATAGGACGAATGAGATGTGATATATATATAATACAGGGGCGAGTGAATTTCGACATACCTGCCCCACTACAAATGCTTGTAGTGCCCCGCGGTCTAAATTGAGGGAGCGTCGCGACTTGTGAAGTAGTTTGTGTTTGTGTAGTTTGTGTAAGTTAACGTAAGCAAAGGGATGCGTAGAAGAAATTTTAAGCTTATGGTGAAAAAGAAGGTCTTGTGATAGAGGGATTGCCAATGATAATGGAAAGCTGTGGATTTGACGGTTAATTATATATCTAAAAGAAGAATTTGGGGAATGAGTGACCAAATGTAGATTAATAGATCTCATCGTCAAACATCCGGAGTCGCTGTTAACTTTGAAGCCAAGTTTTTTTTCTTATCCTTTCCCGGAACCCCACCACGCTAACCGATGTGACTCGTGTAAAAGTCCCTGAAAAAAAAAATTGATTGCCCCTCTTACTTCTTTAGGTATGGAATTAGCTCTAAAATCGGCAACTGTACAGGCAATCTAGCCGGATCATCTTGCAGCCGCGGGGCATTTCGTCATTCAGATTAGGTGCAACCTCAATGTTAAGGTTTATTATTATTATTATGTACATCCTTAAGCCTGAGGTTAAGGCATTAACAAAGAAGTACTAAATTACCTACTTCGATATATTCTGACTGTCGCGACAGCGCATAATCAATATTCACCGCATTTTCTAATAGGATTATTATTCCAGGGGTGTTAATTAAAGAAAAAGCGCACCAAAAGACGCCTGTTCGACTTTGTCGAATAGCGTTGTCTTGTCCCACCTCCAAATATGGCGGGCGTTAAGTTTGACGATCTCGCTTTGCAGTATGTCCTCACAGATGAGAACGATCGGGAACAAGCAATATCAGAGGAAGCAGCCACAAGTAAGTTTTTCCCTTGACACAATAAGAATAAAAATAAAAATAAAAATGACATGCCAACACCATCTTCTAAGGAATTCAAGAGTCCACGAACAGCAGAATAGCTGTCGGCCAGTGGGTCGCATCTATAAATCGTTGGATTCAACCCGGCGATGATTCCAATGATGACAACTTCATCGCGCGGGCGAAGGCGCTAGATTTTCTAGCCAGTACCCTTGGGGTTCTTAAGAACAGAGATGTGCCCTTGAAAGCTGATCAAATTAAGCTCTTGGTGACTTTCTTTGGTTCCCTCTTTTCAAGCGACCACCGAGCTGGTGTTACAGCTTCTGCCAAAGCATTAACGCATCTGGTTAGCATGAAGTCATTCCAACCTACTCTAGGAGATGATATAATTTCAAGCGTCTGTAAATTGGGCGATGATTTCAAACTACAAACACCAATGACACGCCTAGAGCTCTATGAATTATTTATTGGGCTGCTCCAGGATCCTGCTGTGGCCAATGAGCTTGAATACCGCCATGGAAATACCTGCGGATTTATAACCAGTCTCCTGGACCTATGCCGGAACGAAAGGGATCCGTTGAATTTAATGAAGTGGTTTGAGATTCTAAAAACATTTCTGCAGAACTTTTCACCCTCAGAAGATATTACGTTAGAAGTCTTTAAGACCTTCTCAGCTTATTTCCCTATTTCTCTGCGGTCATCAGCTACACCGTCAGGTATTACCGCTGATGATCTGAAGGGCGCTGTGCGATCATGCTTCGCCGCCCATTACCGCGTGGCTAACCATGCGATACCATATCTTATTAACAAGCTTGATCAGGGGGACGCGGTAACTGTCGCCGTAAAGGTTGACATTCTACAGACCCTTGACGCATGCTTAGTACAATATGAGCATCCCAAGAAAAGTGTTATTCCATTTGCTGATCAAATATGGAACTCACTTAAATATGAGGTTCGAAACGGCGAGATACCGGATACTATTAAGGCAACTCTGAAGGTCATACGATCCCTTACCACACGGCTTGACGAGGATGAGCTTCGATCATTCTTAGCAAGCGCTTGGAGGGATCTTGTTGAAGACTTATCCAGTCCAACCTACACGGCTCAGGCTGGTAGACTCCTGGTTGCAATTTCTGGGGCTGATTTCCAGTCGTTTTCGAGTATCACTCCCCAGGCCATATCCCATGCTCAATCTACACTTAGACATACCCAATCCGCATCACATAAACAAGAACTCGTGGCGTTACTCAATTCGATACTCACCATACGATCGCATTTAATCGATACACTGAAGGATGACCTAAATGTCGATAGGAGCTTTGGCCTACTAAAGGACGAACTATTTGGTGATTCGCTCTTCTCTGAGGTCTATGAGCCTCTGTGGGAAGAAATCTCGGGTTCTCAGGCAGCAGAGCAAGTAGGTGTCTTCAAGAAGATTTTGGAAGGACTTGCTGTTCTTGTAGGGCAGCGATCTAGTGATGCCGGTCCTTCTCGTCAGCTGTGTTCTCCTTCCACTTGCGAGAAGATCTTTAGTTGGCTCGCAAGCCCATCTATCATCTATCCTTTGGAAGGCAAAAAGTTCAATCAAAACAATAGCGATACAAACCAAGACATCCGGGATGCTGCTGTTGCAGCGCTGAAGGAAGCTGTACCTTTATACCCCCCGGCATTCCAACTCCTGCTGCAGCAGTACCTCTCCTCACTCAAGGTAGCATACCAGCAGCAACTCGCTTTATATGAGCTCCCCTTAGAGATTAAACTGGTTGCTGGTACCCTATGTGAAGTTGGTAACTCAAATTCTCTCGGAAGCCATTCCTTATTATCAAACTCCGTCTCCCTAATCAACACCCTACTCGAGGGGTTATTATGGATGTTATCAGAGCAGGCACCAATAAGATATTGGACTGCGCTCATCTGTTCTATTCACTTTTCTATTATACAGTCCTTGGGTTCCACGTCAAAACAAACACCCGACACCTTGCAGCCAAAGCGGCCTGGTATTACAAAGGAATGGTACATACAATTTACTAAAAATATTGAGAATGCTGGGGCCCCTCGACTTGACCTAAACAAGCCTGGAAACCCCGAGCCGACGATTAAAGCACTTGAAGGATCAGAGACAGATGGAATCGACGCTCATCAGCAGCTATTGGCATACTCTCTGTTTGTTGTGGAGCAGTTATACCGTCGTTTCACTACCGTCGAGTACCAAAGTGACGAAAACAACAGAAACGGGCCCCAAATAGGACTTGGTAAAGATTTCAAGGGGGGACGTGATTCCGATATTGAACAAGATATATGTCTTCATCAACTTGGTCTTCTAGCCGCGTCAGTTGTTCGGGCTTTAAATGAGGAGGAACAGAAGGCTCTGGACCTAAGCAAGGATGCATTCATTCTTTTCCATAGTATCGATTCCACCAAAGCTACTACCTCAGGATATTTAGCCCCAGAGGCTATTGGAGTAAGCCCATTGGACGAATTCCGTACAGCACCTTTATCGATGGGTATCCTTCAGGGTCTCTATCCTGGTGTGATGAACGCAGAGGTAAGCAAAAAAAAAAACATTTCGGCTCTCATTGATAGTAGCTAACTGTATTATAGTACCATACCAATGCACTGAAGAATATTTGCACAGTCTTGACAACCAGCCCGTCACCTTGCTCAGATACAACAAGGGCCGCGTTAGATATTATCCTTACGATATTATCAAACAAGCTCCGCATAGAAGACAAAAACCACAGCAATGAAAAATTGCAAATTCAACAGAATTTGATCGATACCTTAACAAACACTTGGAATCAGGCTTCGGGATCTATGGTTCTCATCGTCCGTAGCATTCTTCATTTCTTAGCCGGCGATGTGGCACGATTCAGGAGTAGTCCTGATACACATAACGCATTACTCAAGATGGTGTGTGAAAAAGCGCCATCGGAACCCACACTAGGCCGCTCATTAGCAAGGAACTTCGAAGTACTCGTTAGTCCTAAGGAGTGCCTTGAGAAAGAAAACCATGCGATTCGAAAGAGACTAAGCGGCGAGTGGCTGTACTTTAAGGTCATCCAGCCTTATTTGAAGGACTGCTTCCCTAGCTCGGGGGTGGATGAGAGAGTTACAGTTAATCGAGCTATAATGGTGTTCGCGATCCTAAAGCACCTGAAGTACGAACAGTACTCCAGCGACATTGAACAGATCGTGCGGATCGGTATCCGATCTCTATCTACCTTTGATACCGGCGTGGAAATGGAATGCTGCCTTAACGTCCTGCTCCAAGTCCTTGAGAAGGAGCCGGACGCACTTAAAGAGCATATAGCTGGTCTTATCTCAGGTATGATTGTAGTCTACGAGACGGCTAAAAGGGGAAGCAAAACTACGGAGTCAACAGAGGATCATACGGCGTTTAAGAGCAAAGGAAAGGAACGAATCCTGTGCCGGAAATTTGCGTTGGAATTCTTCCAGAAACTACCAACTTCGTACGAGTCTCAGTATCTCGTGCCTTACCGCCAGCAACTACTACGTCCTCTGTCGGCAGCTTGTGGGGACTCGGTTAGAGAGATTCGTCGAACGGCACTGACAGCTAGGAAGGCCTGGGAAGCGCTTGCTTAAAGATTTAATGCTGAGTATTTGTTGAGGTCCTCGATGACCGATTGAAATGCTATCGTACTTAGCTACCATAATCCAGATAGGGGTTGACTCTTAGCATAGAAGATGAATATTAAAGCATATGCGAACTGTCTTCGATAGCTGCATTTAGGCACGTTTCGGTAGTCTAATTGTGTTCTCGTTATAATAGGGTAACATACGAATACATTGTAAACGGCACAAAACTATTCATGAGCGGGGCATCGATCGTATCAGAAGATATGACAATATATTTTAACACATGAACCCATGCATTACTATATTATTCAACTACGCCTTTCTGCGCTTCGACTTTTTGCTAGCTGACGCCGCCTCAGCACCAGTAGACGTAGACTGAGAAGCTGCGATGGCATCTAGGACATCTGCATCCGCATTTAGAAAATCAGGTACTGGTGCAGCGGCTTGCACCCGCTTGGGATCGGCCTTTGCGACCAACGGCACGGCCGTGGCGAAGACGGTTTGGAAGGGCCGCGCGATGAAGTGACCCTGCACGTCGAACCACTCCGTGAACGACCGCGCTAGTTCAATCGTTTCTGGTGCGCCGTTCTTAGGCGTCACGGTGATCTTGACGTTATATATTGGGACGTTTTTATTCGTCGATGTGGATATTGAGATCTATAGTGGTTTTGGTCAGTTGCGGAACTACTTCAAGGTAATGAAGGCCACGCCATACCTTCGATCCGTCCGGCGCAACGCCCTGGTACACCGTGCCCTTCTCCACGAAGCCGATCCAGTACGTTAGGATGCCGTTTAGCAGGGCGTAAACGGCGACGGCGGCAGCAGTGTAGTATTTGGTAGCCTCGAAGCCGAGCTTGTAGTCCCAGGCGAAGCAAGCAGCAGCGATGGCGAAGGCGCCGTACCCGAGGGCGAGCCGCGTGTCGATTAGACTGTGGTCCTGCTTGAACTTGAGCGAGTTGAGGTAGTTGGGGATCGCATCGTCGGATGTGTTTTTTAGGTCTGCGTGACGGGGGGGTGTAAGTGTTAGCAGGGTTGAGTTTGTTGGACGAGAGGATAGCAAAGGTAAGGCATAATACCCGCGAGGTTGTGGACGGCAATTCGTTCCTGGGAAGCCATTTTCAAGCTCAATTCTTTATCCTAGTGCCTGAAGAGAAGCTTATTAAGAATGTTTGCACTCGGATCGTGGTCGGTTGTGACTTGATATCGAGGTGAAGTAGACGATAGCTTAGGTGGCCTTCTTAGTCGAAATGTCTTGGTTGAGTGTTAGCTTGGAAAGATACAAAATACTTCGTAGTGCACCTCTAAGGTCCATTGTAACTGAGAGGTACGGAATAAAATGTATATCTGCATAGGTGGCTTTGGGGGTGGGGCGCTTTAAAGTTCAGCCCTGTACCGAGTTAGTGTAACGTTAATGGAACTCTACTTGATATCGCATCGCTAATACCTTTCATAATCAATGTCTCATAATCAATGCCGACTTGAGCTTCAACCATCATCAACCGTGTTATAGTATTTTGACAGGCAGTTACTGTTAAACTATAGCATCAAGTCTCTCACGATGGCTCAATTACCACCACAGACGATCCATAGGGATCCCCAGCTTTTGTAAGGGTTAGCTGGAGTAATGTTGAAGCTCTACTAATTCCGCTTGATAGCTACTGGATCCTACTTCCAATTACTGCTGTGATGGTAAGCTTATGTATCCTTTCTATCCAAGATACTCGTGTGCTAATCAAGGAATAGATTCTAACTGGTGTTTTACGATACTATGCCACCGTCCTTATGCAAACGCCTCCCAAGAAGCTCGACCAAAAAGCCATGAGAGAGCAACGGTCTCTGCTACATGGTGTCGCCGTGCGTAGTAATTTCCACGTATTATCTGCACCATCTTTCCGCGCGAGGAGAGACTATCTCACCAATGCCTACGAATCTGGTGCTTTCCTGAAAGATCCCGAGCGCCGCGGCCAGCCTCCCCCGAACCCGATGACCGACCCTGGTGCTATGGACGGCATGATGGGTATGATGAAGAATAACATGGCCATGATGATTCCGAACACCCTTATTATGAGCTGGATCAATGCCTTCTTCAGTGGATTTGTTATCATCAAGCTACCTTTCCCTCTTACTATCAAGTTCAAGAGTATGTTACAGGCTGGCGTCGCAACCAAGGAAATGGATCCCAGATGGATGTCAAGCATCAGTTGGTACTTCTTGTGCTACTTTGGTCTGCAATTTGTGTTCAACTTCTTGCTCGGAAATGAGAACGGTGAGTCCTTTTGGGTTCGTATTAGAATAGGCGTAACGAAGCTGACTATATACTAGCTGCCAACCAGATGGCCCAACAGATGTCAGGAATGGGGCCACAAAACGGCCAAATGTTCGGGCCTGGTGTTGATCCTGATAAACAGTTCAAGACGGAGGCTGAAAACCTTGCGGTGGTTGAGCATTACTCGGTCTTGGACGGAGTAGAAGATCGATTACTCGAGGGTATCAAGTCTAAATAAGGGGGCTAGGTAGCTAATCAGCCAAACCTATGCAAGTAGCGATTCCCAACCAAACGCCACCTTATGCAGTTATATACAATTAGTTAAAGGCAACACTATGAAATCACTCCCACCACAAACAGACCCCGAGCCCTTCTTTCATCATGGTCCCCTTTATGCGGTAAGGAGATAACTTCTTCGCCTTGTCGACTGCTTCTTCCTCGGCACTCTCAGGGGTCTGGTCGTGCCATTCCTCTTCAATCACCTGGAGGCGTACCATCTCGTTCTTGTCGTACCACATCGGATCACCCTCGGGATCATAGATCCATGTCCACGCATTCTCATTATGGTTGCTAGAGGGTGGTGAGTCACTTGCGAGGAATATAGAATAGGCCGGGTGGTACCTACTATTGTGTGTTTTCGGGTAACTCCTTGTACTCCACAAATATATCTTCAAAGAACTCAGTGCGGACTGGTATTGGTTAGTGGTAGTTTTCTATAAAGGTGCGAGAAGTTTGATGGAGAACATACTGTGGATTCCTTCTTGACTGGCTTCACTGATCCTCCCAAACATAGTCTCGCCCTTGAAGGGCCTGAAGACGATCATACGAAACTCGACTTTTATCTAAAAGTTAGTATTATTGTTTACAAGCTGGTTCCTCGTAATAAAATAAGTAGAAATTGAGATATACCGTTGACATTAACCATGCCACTTCCATGGCCGATGAGACCCTCAGATGCCCATAGTAGATCATACATGCAGATGCAAAGACCGATCTTCTGGATTACCCGGTTTGCATACTTAGCATTAATGCTATCTTCTATCGCGATATGGCTGGGCTTCTCAAAATTGTCTGGCCTGATCTGCACTAGATCGGCAATCTTTGTCTGGTATTTGGTTAGCTACAAAGATCCGATCCAGTATCCGTATAAATTAACTGACCAGAATGAACATAGTTGCGACCGTAACTGTAGTTGTTATTATGAAAATCTCATCATATGTTCATTTAGTTACACGGTATTGTACAATCCAACCATAGAAAGTTATAGCAGAAAGCAATGGGACCTTTTCTGAACTGTTTTTGTGTTTAGTGTAAAATGTAGAATGTAAAGCATACCGTGTAATTACAAAGGTATGTACTGTACAAGATATAATTCAAAAGACTGACAGTGCACATCATTCATGGGGAGAGGAGGTAGGTGCGGCTGAGCCGTCTGGTCGTACTATCAATATTCCCACTCCGACTTGATGAGTCAGGATTTTAGGTCTGCGCTAGCGTCGCGCTAAAAAAGTATTATCGCGTTTCCATAAAATCCTGCAGGGGTCCAGCTGTACATACAGACCGTCAAAAAATAGAACCCACACAACACAATCATTCATCATATACAACTCAGAAATCTTCGAGTTAACATCCATCAAAGGACAAACGTCTCTCGTAAAATATCTTAATTCTCTCCACGTCTTCAATCGTGACCTTTTCTAATTAGTTCTCTTCACACTCTGTGTTTTCCGTTTTTCATTCTAGTACACTAAAATCACCGGTCTTGAAGTCACCAGGCGGTGTGATTTTACCCCTTGCCTACCTATACAGTGGGCAGTTAGCCTCTGGTATGTTCAGCTCTCCCATCTATTTTGTTATTTTCTGATATTGTGTTGTATATCTTCTAACATCAAGTCCTCTAGTTATTCCTTAGGCTAACCTTTACTTACCTTACCTCTCTTTCTCAACTTTTACAAATTCAAAATGAGCAGCTATCCCTACGCACCCCCTCCGCCAGCTCCCTCAGCAGCTTCGCCGGGCCCGTATCCCCCGTACGGTCAAGGACCAGGGTATTCTCATACACCTCGTGGTGGTCATGCTGCTGCAGCGAGTAGCGGTAGAGGGCATGGCCATCACCAAGGACCCGGCCGTACTGAATACAGCTCGCCTTACTATCAGCAACAAGATTACTCTGCCCCCAGCGGTGGGCCGTACAACCCTCCTCAACCGACTAGTTACTGGCAAGGAACTCCACCCGCGAGCCACGGTCACCCTAACGGCTCGTCTCTTCCGCCAAACTATCCTCCTAGTTACGCACCTCAGGGATTTCATCCTCAGCCCAGCCAGTCCTACCAACCGCCATATCCCAACCAATCCTCTCGTCCTCCATATGGAGCTCCCTACGGTCAAGCGCCTAATGAGTATGCTCAACAACCTGTTCAGCCATGGGGCGATCAAGCTCAATCATTTTCTCACTATTCTAGTCGCGGCGGACGTGGCGGATATCCGAGTGATCGAAGTGGTCCTCTACGCAGTCCTTATCCTCCTACACATCACCAACCAGCTCCCCTCCAGCAGCCGTCGTACGGCTACCCCCCAGCCCCTTCCCCATCATATTCCGGTCCACCACAATCTCATTATGGATCTAATAGTAGAGGACATGGTCGTGGTGGCGGTCACGCTCACTCGAACAGAGGAGCTATGAACAGTGACCGTGGCGAGAAGTTTCGCCCTCGTGACCAGAAGCCGCACCAACCGTTCAACAACTATCAGAAGTCTGATCCTGCTGGCGCTAAGAAGAAGAAGCGCAAGACAAATACACTGGGACTAACCCCAGGGGACGAGGATTCAGACGATGGTGTGGATGAGGAGAAGCGCCTGGAAGAGCTACTCGGCACAGATGCCCCAGGGTAGGTTGTAATTCCATACCTATCTGCTCTATAGTCTAAGCTAACTGAACAGTTACAGTATACCTGATGGTGATTTAGCGAAGTGGATAGCGGAGCGTAAAGCGAATTACCCGACGAAGGCTCGTGTGACACAGAAGAAGGAGGCAGTAGTACTCTCGACACCGGCAGCTAATGCTAACGACGGCAAGGAGACTGTCGTCATCACTCAGGTCGATCCAGTTGAAAAAGAAGCAGATCGTCTACGTAAGAGGTTGGCGAAGCTCGACCGCCAGATCGAGAAGCGCAAACGTGCACCTAACGATGAGGGTGACGAAATGCGCTTAGAGTCTTCGGATGATGAGTCCGATGACGAGCAACCTGAAGCTTTGCCGACCGACAAGTCAGCTAGCGGATTTCTGCCTCCTCCCCCGATTACGCGAGCTGACCCCTCAAACCACTGCAAGTACTACTCTACTGGAGGAATTTGCGGCAAGAAGGGCAAGTGCCGTTTTGTACATGACCCAGCCGTTCGTGAGGCTGCTCTTCAGGAGCGGACGAGAAATGGAGGTCGAATGACTCTCAAACAGCGTCTCCTCCTAAATGACAAGGATCAAGACGACATGGAAGTGATCAAGACGATTGTGGATATGCGCTCCAGCGGACGCTTACACGATCCTCATACCTCTACCGATCAGCAGGACAAGGAGAAGGTCGCCGTCGCTGCTGTTTCTTCGCTACCCACTACTGGTGGAGAGGCTAACCTACCACCTAACCCGTACGCACACCTGAAGAACGCGGATAGAAACCAACAGTACCGCAAGCCTAAGAAGCCTAGTGATTGGTCCTCCCCCACCCAAACCCAAGGATGGAATATCCCCGGCTACGGAGGTGCTGGCATGCCACCTAAGTAGTTGCCACAGTTATGCTCTGGATGGGTATAGCTTTCCCACCAATCCGACACCAGTTTGCAGTGCACAGAATACAATTTTTCTCATCAATGTGATGAGTTTGAGCGATAAAAACGATGCCATGTGGCACGTAACAGGCCATATGCGCCTTTCGGATTAGTTATCCACCAAATATTAGGGGATGCTGAGTTTCTAACAATGGTTCGACATATTCCTTGTTACCAATCGCAGGACGTCATGATTCTCACACGTCATTTTAAACCTATTCGTCGTTCGTTTTCTTCGTCCAGGACCTGCCAAGCTGTAGCAGGCGTTATGACGTTGGCGTTTACTTCGGTTCATTACTATTTCCCATACTCTACATTCCTTTGCGACACGGGCGGATTAAACAAGAGACTGAATTTTATTTTCCTACGTGGAACGATTTCCGCCTTTGCTCTAAATTGCATTTCTCGACACTTTCCATTTTTTTGGCGAGCGAGTTCCGAGCCATCTCCATACACTCGCACCCGATTTTATCTGCTGTCATGGTCACTATGGCATTTGGGGGGCGTCTGGCGCGGGCACCGCTAAAAGGACTTGCAAGGACAAGCCTGGTTAGGTACCTAGGGAAGGATCGCGGGTTAAGTTGCTGGCGTACATGGATAGATATTAGGTTGCTGGCGTCTGGATTCATAGGCTGGCTGGTAGCGCGTATAATTTCTAGTTCCTACTGTCTCGCTTTCGTATCGGGGTATTTGATCGCTTATATTATATTTTCTTCATGATTTGTGGATGTGATTTGGCTTGTATAGTATAGCTCCGCGATTTGATTATGGGAATCGTAGACTAAGATTGGGTGCTATGGGTTTTAAGAGGTTAACTAGATGATTTAATTCACATATGGAGTCATGGTTTATGAATGTTTCATAATATCTTTTGAATATCTACTTTTTTCATCTCACTCATCTACCCCTTCTATTGGTGTCGGCTTACTTGCATGTCCATCAAACGCCTGACGCCATATTTAATGCATGGTGATAGCTACCAACGTATCTTCCCTTTTCCTTGGCAAGTGCTTGCTCATCTATTCCACCCCAAATATGTCCACATAGAATAGTTTACTATAGTTGTAGACACCTAGCGTTGCTTTCTTCCTCTCATCGTTTCGTCCATGTTTCTGTTGGTTAAATTTATACCAACCAATTAAACACAAGCCGGGAACCCCCCCCTTACAATGAATTCAGGGATTTCGTCATCTCCTCAGTCCCTATTCCAGTTTCCTTTTTTTTCATCATTTTCCCATTTCCTTGACCGAAGGTGAATATAGGAGTTATGAACCACACCCACTTTAAACCAGTAGCACCGCATTTACGCAACCGTCGTTCTCGCAGTTGTTCGTGATCTGGGCGTACCGGGCCCAAGCAACCTTGCCGCCGGCAGTGACAAGTCCGAGCTCGGACACGTTGACTTCGATGATGGTACCTTTGCTTAGAACACCGAGTTGCGTGTATAGCGGTTGCTGGGGGTTCTTCTTGACGCTGACGATGGGGAGCTGTAGCGTTACGCCTAGCTCGGGGTGCGTCACGTTGGCTTTCTTGTATCTATGGGGTGGGAGATTAGTATATATAAGTCGCTGAATACTGGAATATAATAACGTACCGTAGACCCATAGGCCGTATAAAACGCTCGTACTTGACAGGCCGCCTCGTGAAATCGGGCCCGACAAATGTAGGCTTGGTAACCATGCGCTTCCAGCTCTTCTGGTGGACCTTCTTTCCGGTGCTGATGACCTTGAACATCTCGTCCTCGCTGATGCCGCGGACCTTGGGGAGGGGCACGGCGAACTTGGCGGCCTTCTCGGCGCGCTTGTTCTTGACGGCGGTGCTGAGGGCCTTGGCCTGGGTCGGGTTGGAGCGGTCGAGCAGGTAGTTGGGCAACGGGGTCTTGGGGTCGTTCTCGGACGCTGACTTGACGTTGCGCTCCTCGTGCGCCTTGATCTGCTTGCGCATCTGGATCTTCTCCTTGTGCCGCTTCGCCTGATGCAGCTTCGCCCTCAGACCCCGCAGGTTCTGTGCGTCCTTGGACGCCTTGTGGCCTTCTCGCGCTTCGCGCTTCCGCGCCCGTTCCTCGTGGTCGAGACGGCGACCATGGGTTTTGCGGAATCGCTCCATGTACTCATTTTGAGGCTGACGTGCACCATCCGTTAGTATTATGACTTGTTATTCGGGAAGAGAGGAAGAATCTTACCATGATGAATGGATTTGCCCTCGAAGGGGTCTTGCGAATTGGCTAGAAAAGGCTCTCCTCTTGGATCGATTCCGAATTTCAGTAACAAATCAACGGGCAACTAAGGATTTATACTGAAGTATTATTATATTGAGATGTCGGTAACCAGTGATAAAAAAGTTACGGCGGTAGTTGTTATCGATCAAAAGACCCGCCACTATCAAAATTTCCAGAGCTCCAGCCACATCGATTAGATAGATATTTAGGTACGTACTTCCCGATTTCCGTCCTGCAAACCACAGCGGAAAAACCAGAGTCTCCACTTTAACTTTTCGACCCTCCGTCGACTTTCAAATATCACAATTCGGAGCTGTCGACACTATTTTTCGGCGACTCGAAGACGCCGGGGATAGCTACCAGTTGGTCCAATCGCAAACCGGCCAAATATTCTCCTACGACACGGAAGAAGGGAGGATATAATATAGCAAAATGAGCCGGTCACTACTGCGCTCCGTCCTGGAGCTTCGCACGCCTATAACACGTCTCCCACCAACCTTCCTCCTCCCGATCCAGGCCCGCACCCTCGCGACAACAGCAGCAAGACGCAATGTTGAACCAACAACGCCTCCGAGTGCAACACCCACACAAAGCACCGTGCCCCCCATAGCGCCCTCCAAGCCATCCCCCGCCCCCTCAGCAACCCCGTCTCAATCCCAAACCCACCCCCTACCGGGAACGACATCAAGCTCCGTAGCAGAGCTCTTCCCGCTGCTACGCGCGCAGCCCGCACACTACATCACCATCCACATCCACGGACGGCCGTACCTAGTCACGGAAGGCGACCGCATCCGTCTGCCATTCCTGATGCACGAGGTGCTGCCGGGCGACGTGCTGCGCCTGGACCGCGCGTCTACGCTCGGATCCCGGGACTACACGCTCGTCGGTAGCCCGCACGTCGACCCCTCGCTGTTCGAGTGCCGCGCCACCGTCCTCGGCGTCGAGTCCGAGCCCCTGCGCGTCAAGGTCAAGACTAAGCGCCGCAACCGCCGCTCTCGCCGTGTCGCGAGTAAGCACCGCTATACCATCTTGAGGATTAGTGAGCTTAAGTTACTTGGGCCGTCCTAAGTGTTTCTGTGATGAGAAATAAGTGGTGAGCTTTGCGCTAGGAATTCCTCCTTTTGGGGAGGGGTTTGCTTGGTTGGACGGGTGTGAAAGTAACGGGAAGGATCAGTTATCCGTTCTGCTATCTATGTCACTGCATTTCTCATCAGGGAATTCAACCGTGGAGAGAGTACTATGAATCCAAGTCAGTCAGTATTAGACTTCATGTATGTAACACTTGCAAAATGGGCTTGCAAAATATCCGGCAAGCTTCATGTATAAAAAACACGAATTCAAACATCAGAAAAAGCAAATATACTTCCAAGACTGATGCACACATATGAGACTGAAATATATCCACTTGAACCATTCATGCTTCACAAAAAGACTAAAAAGCAATATAATTAAACGTTAAAAATGATCAGGTTTGATTTCTCATTAAAAAGTAAAGTTTCACGGAAAGCGTAAAAACGACCACAAACGTATCGCTAAAACCAACCACAGCTCCAACAAACCGTGTCTAACGATGAAGCATCATCCCATGCCTTATCCTGAACTCCGTGGCTAATGCAGCATACGCGTGAGCAGAACATCAGGGATATCTCTCCATGGAGACGATACCTCGCCCCAACGACATCTTGAATGGTAATAAAAAAAGGGGAATTTAAACAACGGGATTATAGTATCCCAAAAAACAATTATCCATCCACACGAGCCCATATATGCAAATCGGCTACCATCCCCTCTTATTCAACCGTAATTTTTCAGTTCCTCAGTCATAAGTCATGTTTTATTATTAGCTTTCCAACCCCCGTCCTGTCACCTTGCGTCTTCGGGAGCGGCTCTTGAAGCCACCTCTCTGCCAACAGCTTTAGCGACGCTGCCCCAATAAGCCTGAGGCCATATGCTTAGCGCCTCGGCCTCAGTCGGCATCCTCTCGCGACACCGAGTAACGACGCTCTGAATAATTCGTCCCAGCAACTCTTCGGTGATAGGCAGCGTCCCTGCCGGCGCTTCAACGGGATACAGGAATGGGTCCGTTCTAGACAGCAATTCTTCACATGTGGGCCGCAGGTGCTGGTCGCGGCTAAGGCAGCGCTTCATGGTTCGCAGGAGGCTAGGAGGGACAGGTGCTCCGCCAATACCCTTGTCGCGGAACTCGATATCGTACTGCCAATTGATGATGGCGTGGCAACGTGCCATCTGGTTAGGAATATGACCGAAAGGCGGTGTACCATACACCATCTGGAACAATATACAGCCTAAACTCCAGATATCGCTTGGCTTGCCCAGCTTCATAAGCTTGGGACGCGGCGCGTTACCGATGGAGGTAATGCGGTGACCGGCGGAATCAGTGGTATTAGAGTCAAGAAGACTCTCCGGGCTCATATAGTTGGGGGTGCCAACCTGGGTCTCACGGTGCACATTGACGGTCTCGTCGGTCTGAATAGCGTTGGCAATGCCAAAGTCGATTAGCTTCAATCGACCTTGAACCACCACGAAGTTGGCAGGTTTCAGATCCGAGTGTACGATATCATGGACATGTACCGCCGCCAAACACTCGAGCATCTCCTGCCAGTAGTATCGCACGAAGACTGGGTCAAATTTGGCATTCTCGGGCGACAGCCGGAGGCGTAGGAGCGTGTTAAGATCCAACTCGCCCATTTCCATAAGCTATTTAGATGACAATCCAGTTAGCCCAGTCACACCTGACCTCTCGAGAGGCAATAGGGGCACCATTTAAAACTCACCAGGCTGAGGACCTGTTTCTCTTCGTTCATCTCGTAGTCGTATAGAGTAACAACACGCTCGACGTTATTTAGCTTCTTCAAGAGGTCGATTTCACCTTTATAGCCTCGGACTGTATTCTCGTCTGCACCCTCGATAGAGACACGCTTCAACGCGAACATCTTCCCGTTGTCGGCTGCAACTCGGTATACCTTTCCGCTTCCTCCGCGGCCGAGGGAGTCGAGCCTCGTGTAGCATTTTCCGTTGACTTTCATGTAATTTCGTCGCTTCGCCGCTTGTACCGTAGTTGCTGCTCCAGCTGCAGAGGTGGCGGCGTCCAGGATCGACATCTTGGGTGGAGGCGCAGGTGCTGCCCTGCGAGGTGTGTTCTGGCTCAACGAGCTTAATGCCTTGCGGTCCGGTGAGATAAGTCGTGCGGAACCCACCTCGGCAGCACTCGAAGGACGGGCTGAACTCTTAGGTATATCTTTCTCCAGAAAGCTTCCTACAGGGGGTTTGTTCCTCTTGAAGGTTGGCGGGGCCTCGTTCTCCTGATCTTGTCTCGTCGGCACTTCGGATCGAGGGGGTGGGACCCGATAATGTGGAATTATAATTTCGTCGTGTTCAGGTGAAGTCTGTCGTGACCGTGAGACACGTCCATTTTCCGCGGCAGTAGACAGTTCCCTTCTCTGGGCCGCCCTTGCAGATCCCCTAGAGCTAACAGGACTCCCCATGGCGAGACGGTCGGGTACGTAATATGAGGACGCAAGGTTATCCAGCGGATCGTAGTCCTCGGTATCCCGAGCATGAGGCGCATCGGATTCCTGACCGGATCGGAGAGGTTCTCTTCCATTCTCGGCGTCCTCCTCACTTTGTCTTCTTCGTCCTCGGCGTGCTGGCCCGCTGAGAAAGCTGCCGGGAACCTTTCCTACTCTTTTAACACGCATTGAACTCTGCACTGCTTGATTCTCGTCACTGCGATTCCTAGATCCGTTAGAGCCTAACCTAGAGGCGCTTCCCGGATTAGAAGACCCCTGTTGCCGGGGAACAGTCTGAGGAGCATCGGGAAGGTCAGTTTCGTCAGATGGCACGCCGTGAGAATGGAACGATGAAGCTAAGTCAGTTGGCCTAGAAGACATGGCCGACGAAGCCGACGAGCGACCCTTATTGCCCGACGATCCGACGGCGATTCTGACCACGCGCCCTTGCTGAGCCGGCGTATTTAAGTCCTTCTCCTTGATCAGCGAACCATTACCCTTCTCGTCTGTGACACTATCGGCTCGACTTGGAGGACGGTTCCTGCTTTGCGAAGCGGAGAACGACGTTGAAGTTGACCTCCTCTTTGCAGGCGCCTTAGGTAACGAGGTAGCAGCAGATGTTGCAGACGCGGCACTTAACCGGACAACGCGCTTCCTGACGGGACTACTTTCTCTACTAGGCTGACTCCTGACAGGTGAGGTTGGTCTTGATGACAACTGAGTACTGCTGGCACGGGTATGCCTTCTCTCTTCGCCGATTGAAGCTGCCGATGCACCGAGGACGCTGCGCCTCTTGGCAGGTTTGTCCTGCTCTGCATAGACGGGCGACGAAGGACGATGGGCTTGAGCTCGAGTTCTAACGCGTCCATTGTCTCGTTCTTGTTCAGCTCCCTCATCGTTGAGAAGAGCTTTAGTAAGAGCGCTGAGCTTCATAGGCACAGGGATCTCGTCATCTGAACTATCATTGCTCGCGTATTGCGACTTGGAGGCATGAACAACATGAACTGGAGCTGGAATATTGGATTCGGAACGGCCGATCTGCGATCTAGAGGGAGCTCTCCTCAACCCCGATCTTAACGACGACTTTCTCGTTACAGCTCCCGGATGATGACTGGACGCTCCGGGCGTCGGCGATGCGGAGGTCATTATTGTGTAAGCTATAATTATATGAAATTTAAAAACAAAGCAAGCGCAAGCGGGTTATAGCGCGTTGAATTGGCGAATTGGGCTATCTTATTGTCGATTTAATGGATATTATACGTGTCAAAGCAGATGGCGATCCAAAACATAATAGTTTGGTAGTCAGGTCGAGCAGATGGGGCGCGGTAATGCAGAAGTAATTGGCGCGGTCTTGTTAGTTGAAGGACATCTGAATTGTTCCTGACTCCCTGCTTCGATTGGCTTGGCGTCTTTTTCGTTTTTTTATCCGTTGCTAGGAGCAACGCCCACATTCCCTTTTTGGTATCCAATTACGTGTCGTTCGCTAATTCTACTACCAATACTAGTTCGCTTATGCAATCCACAAATATGGGTGTTGTTGCATAACATGCGCTGGATAAAGATAAACAGCCCCTCCATAGTCGACTTGTAATTTGAGATGATGTTGTTTATAAATGAAAGTGATGAAGCTGATTTAAAATGTTTACCAACTAGTAACATCAGGCGAGCTACCTAATTTAACCTAACTTATTCATCACACTAGCTAAACCTTCCATACCCTAATTAGTGGTAGCCTTGCATGCTAGGTCAAGACGTGCGAATAGGTAGGTTCAAGTTATGCTAATGCAAATTTAAAGTTCACAAGTACAATCACATGGGCAAATCAAAAAATTGAAGGACTCAAAATTCGGAGAAGTAGCACTGTATTTTTCCTTAACCGTCTCTAGATGCCTTAGTTGATCAAACGCAGACCCTTCCATGCCGGATACCATGTATGACCACTGCCCAATTCCGTGCCACCTCCCCGAAAATGCATGACTTCGTTGTCGTAACCATGTACGATATCCGCTTAGTCGAATAGACCGAAGCCCATGTCGTCGTCGGACTCCTCCTTCTCTAAAGCCGTTCGTCAGTATATAGAACCAGATAAAACCAGAATATTTAGTGAACGTACCCTCTTCCTTCTCTTCGACCTTCTCCTCGGCGGCGGCAGCACCACCGGCAGCGGCAGCGCCACCAGAGGCAGCACCGCCAGCACCGCCAGAGGGAACGGAGGCAAGCTTGCCGGAACCCTCAGAGATCAACTGCAATATCGTGTTAGCTTAAATTTACATTTTTCGTGCGTTTATAATCGTACCTCGTTGATGTCCTTGCCCTCTAACTCAGAGAGGAGCTTCTCTAGACGGTCGGTATCGGCCTCGATACCAACGGACTCGAGGACTTCCTTAACGTCGGAAGCGGAAGGCGAGGTGTTGCCACCAAGGCCAAGGAGGAGGTAAGCTGCGAGGTGCTTCATTTTTTCTGATTTGTTCTGTGTGCGCGAATCTTTGTTAGCAGAGTGGTCTTTCTTATACGAATTAATTTTTGCGACGAGGGGTGATCGCGGGGTGATCGAGTACAGTAATTCGTCGACGTTAAACGTTTCGACAATGATATGCGAATGCTTCAAGAGAATAGACTTACGAGAGATGAGAAGAACACGAGAAATCAATCGATTTAACCGCAATTTTGGGCGGAGACTGAGCCTTCGAGTTCTGTGGGAAATTCGGTGTTAAGAGGTTGAAGATTGAGAAATTGATGACTCTGTTCGGCCAGAAAAGTTCCTTTGGATTTTCGGTGCGCCTGGATTTGACTGTGGGCAAAGTGGAGAGTGGATCCTCGCCTATCACCTGATTAGGGTCGTCTTAGATACCTTTTTTTCAATCTTCCAATCAAGCTTCGCATATTTACTCCATAATCTATGTGGCTTGACTCTAAAATTTACCCCCACTCGGACATCTCTAATGGCGAATTACGGCCTTGACATGACGTAGATCAGCCACACTTACCGGTTACTAGAGTAGAGGTACCTGCTGTGGTACGTGCATGTCCAGAAGTTGAATCAGGCTCAGGAAGTATTTCGTACTTCGGACGTCTTGTTAGGAGCGGGAACGGCACGAGACTTTCTTTTTGTTCAAACGCCTTCTTATCATCACTTCTAACATTTAACGACCCTCAAGATACCCGCATTCTTTGTTGCTCGATCAGCCGACGCATTCGTTTTCTTGCATAAGTCGCATGTGATACCATTTCTCAATTACAGAATTGTTACAGCTGGTCAATCTGGCCATATCTTACCATCTTTTTGAGGTCGCATCGGGGTCTTAAGGAAAAGAGTCATCGCACATGCCACAGCCCGCCGACTTATGACGCCTCAGGCACACTATAAGCTCCTGGCGGCAATTAGGATACCCTTCAGAGACTCCCTCCTGTCATCCAACAGACATCGAGTCTTATCATAATGCCGGTACGTGTCATTTTTTTTACTACTCTTCTATTGTGCTTACCTCGGTTCTAACATCTTGCGCATGAAGATCGGTGACCTCCTCGCCGAGATCTCTGGCGGGAATACATCATCCGAGCCACGACCTAAGACACCGATATCGACCGCGGTAAAGCGCAAAGCCGATGACGACTCGCATAGCACAACGTCGAATAAATACCCCAAGTCGCGACAACAGGACGGAACTTACTCGACTAGTAAGACCACCCGCGATATAAAGACGGATCCTGTCGATCGACCGAAGCCTACCACCGCGTCTGCAGCCGTTAAATCATCGTCTCTACCTCACCGCACGAGTTCGCCGTCCATAAATGGCCGCTACCAACCTCCGGTGCCGAGTGTGCAACGTACAGGCATCTCATCTTCGAACGGCAGGCCGGGATCCAACATATCCCAACCGAAGAAATCAACAGATCAGATTGTTAGTCGGCCAAAACTTAGTGCATCTTCGCTAGCAGCTGCTTCCAAAGCGCCTCCTGCGAAATCGTCACCCACGACTCCGACCACCTCAGACCCATCCAAGGCGCCAAAGAAGGGTTCGTACCAGGAGATAATGGAACGTGCAAAAAAGGCTCAAGCGTCGATGGGTAAGGTCGGTATGATTCAGCACAAGGCCATCGGAACCGCTAAGAAAGAGCAGCCCGCGAAGGTGGAACAGAAGCCAAACGGTGCTAAGGGGAGAGATGGAAAGCCGTATCTTGGGAACAGTCGGTCATCCACTGCACCTCCCCGTGGAGGGGCGAGACCCGGAATGGTGGTTCGCGATGCAGGCCGAAATGGAGCCGGAAAGGATGCTAAAGCAAGTGGCAAGTCGAGGCCTGGCTCAGCTGGCGGGGAAGCACTAGAAAAAAAAATAAAGAAGTCGGCGACAGCTACTACAGGTTATACTGGAACCGCTCGCCCCCGACCTGGTGCGGTATCGGAGAAACCATCAGCATCCAGGAAAAGCAGCTCAGCTTACAAAACCGGCGGGCTTCTTGCACCCCCAAGGCCAAGTCGCCGGGATGAATACGAAGATGAATATGATGAGGAATTGGACGACTTCATCGAGTATGACGAGGATGAGGAGCCCGGCTACCGAGGCGAAAGGTATGGCGGATATGATTCAGATGCCTCCAGCGATATGGAGGCAGGCCTTTCGGATATCGACGTAGAGGAGCGAAGAGCTGAACTGCTAGGTCGCGAAGAGGACAAACGGGAGCAAGCCCTCGAGGAGAAGCTCAAGCGGGAGAAGGAGGAACGAAAACGACGACTTGGCGTAGGCCGTTAAGATATTACTTTAATACTAATCTGCCCACAAACGACAGAGTTCGGCGCAGATATTCGCGGGATGGCGGCTTCTTCATACTTTACTTCGTTCACGCTTATTTTAAAAGACATGGTTCACGTAGATGGAAATTGCATGGAAGACGGCGTTCTATGATATTTCCACGCGTCCAAGGCAGACCTTGGTGAGCAATGGCGTTCTTCATTCTTCATACATACCCCGTGTCAGGGTCGTCAACAGGATAATTCAACGGTTTGATCATATCAGCGTAGTGTGGCCTTAGATGTCTTTTTGACAATATTACTGTATATTTTAGGGACTAAATTATAGTTGGTAGTTATTAATACGCGCTTTACTTCTTCTTTTCGGTGTGATAACTTGACACACGTAACCCCTTTATCTAGATATCTTAGTCTTAGAGGCAGACCTTTTCACATCTTGTTTGAGATCAAGGAGGCAAATAATTTGGAATTGCTGCGGCAAAACATTGTATAGACATGTTCCCTTAAATAAATATTTGTCATTCATAATCCCCCTTCTTGACCCTCAGCCTAGAGGGTATACATATTCCCTTGTAGCTTTTTATATAATAAAATACCTTTTTCGACTCTAAATCTTGATAAGGTTCATAACTCCGACTTACTCTCCCTTTGTGAAGAGTTAACTTCTAGGTAGCTTTCAGTATTACATCCTTTAACTCAGATATTTACCTAGGCAATTGGCTGCTCAAGTATTATCTATATTACACGTGTCTCTTGGCAAAGCCCATTTCAACCGGAGAATTATAATCAATAGCAGAAATGACCTATTAGGGTATCGTGTCGCATAGAGTAAGAGATAGTGGTCTGGATACTAGTATAATAGTGCATTTATGACTGTATTGACCACTGCCTTTCCATGAATAGGGGGGAGGGAAGAGAGCTAGAACAAAGGACATTGTCAGTATGTATAGCCGTAAGCTCCCATAATTAGGTAGCTTAGAGTTCCTCGCGGAATGACGAAGCTATTTCCTAACTTCTTAGTCCACCTCGTGGCAATCCTAATTGCCAAACTAACATCATATACCATGTATCAGGAGGAAATACCATAGATAAACAAACCAGTCTCCCAACCCTCCCTTTCGACAAGGCACTATTGCAAGTATTACGAATGTGTATTACGAATGTGGTAGTTTATGCGGCACTGTTCTTGTTTTTTTTAAGCTGGCAGAATATCGCTGTGTCCTGGTTCCTACCGTGACTTCCCGAATCAAATCATGAGTCATGAGTTGTGCCAAATTCATATCCATCTATTTTTCTTTGTAAGATCGTCGCCAATATTGCTTCTCGATATCAGCTGCCGAGATCACACAGTTGTTATATAACCCTTAGTGATGATTGGTTTAGATGGTTAGACAGCTACCTATCTGAATTCAATATTTTTCTGTGTGGCTACCTGAATGGACAGCTGTTCATATGAATACCTTAGGTAGGTATGCCGAGTTTTCAGCCGCTTCGAAATGTGTCAGTCTATACGAAAATCTGATCCGTCATTTTAATGATAGCCCAGCTTAGGACGTCATCCTGCGCTTCGGGTAGCAAAGCAGAGCCTCATGTCGGTTTAAAACAAGGCTCGGGTGAATTCAATGTAACTAATATAAATATTTGTCTTGAATATGGCCGCTCTTCCACTATCTGTTATTAACATCACTAGCTTCACCTTCACCATCTCTTAACAACAATGTTCTTCAATACAATTGCAGACTCCGTCGAAGATAACGCCGATTTAGCTGCTCAGGCAGTCGGCGTCGCTCATCGTACCCAAAATGGGGTTCTTGATGCTATTGGTATTAACGGTATCTTACCCACTCCCATCAGGGATCTCAACGACAAGGTCTACGACGCAAACGAAAACCTAGTGCGCGAAACCGGGCGTAAGACTGCTACATTGTTGCGAAAGTTCGAGTAAGTCAAGCTATTCAACAAGACATGAATAATTTCTTACTGAAATAGTGGCTCGAGCAAACATCCTCAGGACGAAGAGGTAAGCCTAAAGCTGTAGCGAAGGTATGAACAAAGTAACTGATAGATAAACTGGAACCAGGGGATGAAGCCAGATGACAGGCCAGGTGCTAGTCCAAGCAATAGAGGACCTCATCCCTCCCGCCCGGATTCTCGTGACCATTTGTACATGTATACTGACAAGCCTCTGGGCCCCTATGTTGACCTTCGAAGTGGTTGCCCAGAGGTATATAATCAGCGGCATATGATGAGTTGTACCGCTCATGCTGTCGCTGCCGCATTTGAATTTGATGTCATGAAGCAAGGTTTACCCCCTTTTTCACCCTCCAGACTTTTCATTTGGTACAACGCTCGTGCTAAACACGGAGACACTGGGAAAGACGTTGGTAGCAATCTGAGGGATGCTATCACTTCCCTTAACATGAAACAACATGGTGTCTGCTCCGAGGATGATTGGTCTTACGAAGTTAGTGAAAGCGATAAGAAGACGCATATATTCCACCCTGGTGCTAAGGCAGCAACGAAGCCGCCTATTCGCAGAGAACATGCCCACCAGCACACCGCACCATCCTACAAAACATTCGAGAAGGCCACTGTGAAGGTGCTTAAACATTGCCTTAATGAAGGATATCCTTTCGTCTTCGGAATGAAAACCTACGGCCTCCTCCATGGAAACCGTATTGGTCCAGATGGATATGGGCTCAGTACGTTATGACCTAAAATCTACCTCTGCTGTTCACTAACATATGATATTGCTTCGTAGAAAAGGACCCAGACAGAAAGGACATGAAGGAAGAGCATAGACATTCACTCCTAGCGGTTGGCTACAAGGAGGAAGAGAAAGTATTCATCATTCGCAACTCATGGGGGGCCGACTGGGGCGAGGATGGCTATTTTTATATGCCATACCACTGGTTGAACCATTGCTATGATTTCTGGACTATTCGCCTTGTGAAGTATAATCCCGAGAAACATTGACGAGAAGTGGGAGAAGACGTAGTTACATCGGAACTAAATAATAATGGTAACTAGCATTATACGTAACCGTACCTATTTATGCTTAAATAGATCAATAACAAGCTACCTAAAGTAATAGGTCCCATGCAACGACATTATTGCTTAATACATTATTTTTTTTATTTGCACTCGTATCAAATTTGCATCTTTGTTGGCTGGGATGTGGATTAAAAATGACTATAGCGTAGGTTGTTGGTAGTTTATAAAAGGGGGGGAAATAGAAGTTGTACATCATTCGCAAGTATCCTATTACGTAGCGTAGAAACAAACGGGTTGCATCGTCATTAACTGAGAGGACGATCCACATGTTAGCTGACCTTCTATTACCCCTGCAGATAATAGCCCCATTTGGGGTATTGGGGATGCATCTTTAAAGAACCAGAGAACCAACTCGTATTTTAGTAACCTATCGATAGTGTAACAAACCTTGTATTGATTGTTAAGGATAAGCAATTAAACCACGTGTAAAGTATATCTATTAGATTAACATTTGATTAGCAAAGAATACAGCAGTATAAGGCTTAGTTTAGTTTAATCATTCCTTTTTTGGGGTCCTTCCGTTCTGTAGTTTTCTAAGCCTACCTCTGAGCCAATGGGTCGGAAAGAGGCTGAGCTTGCCTAGGTACCTACTAGCCAACTAGGAGACCTCAATTCTCTTTTGATGCAGGTCAGCAGCGAAATGCGGAAACATGTAAATCGTCGGCTTGGAACCTTCCTGTCCATGTCTTTTCATTTTATATTTTTCATGTTTTTAAATCTTTACTGTAACAACCTCCTACAGTAGTGAATTTTATAATAAGTTGAAATTTTGTAATGAGGATTGCAAATTACTTACTTAACTTGATAGAAAAAAAGCGTGCAACATTTTACGTCTAGTTAACTATCAATTGCATGTCCTTCTTTTTTTTTCTTCTTTTCTTCTAAGCCGCAACCTGCAACCCGCAACCCGCACTCTGCGACCCACGCGTCCTGATTAATGTGTTTCATACTCTCTTTTCCACGTCTCTCATTCTAATCCAACTTCACACCTTTTTTAATAGTCTTGGCATAACCCCGGATTTGTCTCGATACACTATTCGAAACGAACTGCCTATTCCTATGTGATGCTATTTGATATTGTTCAAGTAATCGTCTTGCCAGTGCGCTTACTTGCGTATTGCGCCCCGGCGTCTACGTCTCTACTTTCTCTCATATATATCTCTAATTGAGTGTCATCTGGATGACACTAAATCGCCATGACTAGGTCTAGCAATTCGCCTCGAGACTCGCAACAAAATCCTTCTACATCTTCGTCCCAATCCATCCCCTTACAGGATCTCGCGAGACAACAACGCCAACATGATAGTCAGTCGCAAGGCGGGGCCCAGAGGGGATCTGCGGATCGCAATCTAGGCGTCTCGACATATTGGGATGGTTACCAACAACATCACCACAACGCTGACTTGGGCCCGAGTCCTGGTGCTTCACCGATAGACCCTACTGCTCTGCAGTTCGCTTTACCTCCGGGGATCGATCCCTCGCCTCCAGCGCCGCCTCGAGCTACCTTAACATCTGCTCAACTTTATGCCCCCGAAACACCCTACTACGACGAGACGACTCATGTCGACTACTTTGAATCAGATAGTTCGCCCCTGACGTCTGCCGCGCAGCCGATCGCTGGTGCTTTGCCTACCCCACAAGTCGAGTCTCAACCGAGAGATAGCTTCCAGACGGTGTCGGATATAGACAGCTCTCATCCGCGTGGACGATCTGCTCAGATGCTTGGATTTGATTTGGAGAACTCATTTGCGTCGACCAAACACCGCAGCTATGGCAATTCTCTCACGCCAAATGATAATCGGACTTCGCGGATGCCGAGCACGGCTGATGCCTTGTATAGAGCTGGGTCAATTGTTAGGGCCATGTCTCAGCGTGTTGTTAATATCAGTAATGAAGGGGAAACTTTCGAGCAGCAGCAAAGACGGCAGAGATCAAGATCAAGATCACCAAGTGCAGATGGCCGGGCATCGCCTAGTCATCTTTCCACCGAGTTGAACATTGATACGTCATACCCTTCTCAAGTCTACACGAACACCGAGAAGAATGGCGATCCCGGATGGACTATGTCGGAAAGCCCCTTGTCCCCTCGGCGTGGAGCGCCAATGCCGAACCCTTTGAAAGGTCGTTCGCTCGGTATATTCGGACCTGACAATATCATCAGAAGAAAACTTTGCGATGTACTTGTGAATCCATATATGGAACCTATCCTGCTTCTACTAATTGTACTTCAAGCCGTCCTGCTTGCTGTCGAGGCCGCAAACAATGTATATATTCCCGGAAACGAACGCCCCAAGCTCTGGAATCCCTCTTCAGGAATAAACTGGGCTCTTCTCATCCTCTTCATAATATTCACCCTCGAGACAATGGCTCGGATCATCGTATCTGGTTTTATATTAAACGCTGCAGAATACAGCACCATTGACCGAAAGAAAGGAATCCGTGTAGCTATATCGGATCAGTACAATGCGGTTTTTCGGCCACAACGTCAGAAGTCGGTGAAAACTCCTCGTGAACAGGCTTACGGGCCTTCTACATTTGCTCGGTCCTTCACTATGATGCATAGTAGTGTGCCCGAGACAATCGAGGAACAACAGAGGATGCAATTGGCTCGCCGAGCTTTCTTGAGGCATGGTTTCAACAGGTTGGATTTTATTGCGGTTGTATCCTTCTGGATAGCTTTCGTCCTCAGCATAACAGGCATTGAAATGGAAAAACATTTATTCATCTTTCGCATGCTCAGCTGTCTTCGAATTGTTCGACTCCTTGCCCTTACGAACGGAACAGCGGTAAGTTACTTATAGAGAGAGAGGGAGGGGGGGGGGTAAATTATAAGGGGCATCATTCTAATTTACTCGCTAGATCATATTACGAAGTTTAAAGAAGGCAGCACCACTTCTACTTCGGGTTTCCTTCCTTATTGGCTTTTTCTGGCTCTTGTTTGCCATTATTGGCGTGCAAAGCTTTAAAGCAAGTCTAAGCCGGCAATGTGTTTGGCTGGATCCCTCGCAACCCGATAATATGTCCCTAGCATATACGAATGATATGCAGTTTTGTGGCGGATATCTCGATAAAGATGGTATAGAAAAACCCTGGGTTAAAAGCTCGATCCCCGGTTCTTTGCTGAACCTCGAACCTCAATTCCCAAAACCAAAGGGATACATTTGTCCCAGGAACTCCATTTGTCTTGAACAGTCAAGCCCATTTAACAATACTCTCAGTTTCAACAATATTCATCATTCCCTAGAGTTGGTTTTTGTGATCATGAGTGCCAATACATGGTCCGACCTTATGTATTACACCACATATTCTGAGTTCCTCCCGGCAGCTATATTTTTCGGTGCTGGCATTATGATAATGATGTTATGGTTGACCAATTTGCTCATTGCTGTCATCACCTCATCATTCCAGGTTATTCGAGAAGAAAGCAAGGCCAGCGCTTTCACGGGAGATGAAGACTTCCAAATTTCCGATCCCCAGGAAGAATTACGTAGGATCTCGACGTTTGAGAAGATATACAATAAGACACGACTCTTTTGGGTGTTCCTTATCGCGGAAGAACTCTTTGCTCAGGGTTGGCGCAGCTCAGATATGGGACCTACGCGAGCAAATTTTATCAAAGCAAACAGTATCCTGGTGACAGCCCTCCTGGACATCGAAATTATCATTAGAATCGCAGCTAACTGGAGAGCCTTCCATCGAAGCTACCAAAACCTATTCGACCTCTTCCTAGCGTTTGCAAATACGATAATAATCATACCCCCTATCTTGCAAAGTGGTCAGACATACATGTGGCTCACGATATTCCAAATCCTACGCTCCTACCGTGTAGTTATGGCCTTACCGCTCACGAGAAAATTGATTGTATTGGTCCTCGGAAATGCTACGGGTATTGCAAACCTCATCGTCTTTGTGTTCTTAATCACATTTATCATGGCAATTTTCGCGGTCCAACTTTTCCGGGGAGAGATCCCCTTATATGATGACGGCGGTGAGCTGGTTAGAATATCATTCTACAATATTTTCAATTCATTCCTTGGCATGTACCAAATCCTATCCAGCGAGAACTGGACGAACATCCTTTACGATGTGACGACGTACACCACTATTTACAGTACGTCCTGGTATGGCGCAATGTTCCTTATCGGCTGGTTCATCCTTGCATTCTTTATTCTTGTTAATATGTTCATTGCTGTTATCCAAGAGAATTTTGATGTGTCAGAAGATGAGAAGCGGCTGGAGCAAGTTAAGGCGTTCTTGCAACGCAAGGAATTGGGTAGCAACGCAACTACTAATATTACCCTCTCGGATATTTTCTCCTTTGGGAAAGCTAAGCAAAGAGATCCGTTAGATTACGGACCGGCGACGATGGAAATGTTATTGAAAGACGCCGTCGTTCGAGAATTCCTTGACGATTCGATGGACCCATTAAACCAGGAATCCAGCAACACCTCCTCTCCCCAAGAGGGAGCGACCGGCGACGGTATTCGGCCTGGCTTTATGTCGACTGTTTGGGGCCGAATCCGAGGTGTACTCACCAGCAAGGAGCCGAACCCGTTCTATTCTAACATCCGGTTCAATCTACCTAATGACGCTCTCGATCCGCGGCAGATGGCTCGTCAAGCTGTGTCTGCCACTACAGAACGCCGCAAAGCTCAACGTGAATATCTTGCCCGTCACCCTACGTATAACAATTCTCTCTTTATTTTCACCCCCAAAAATCCTATTCGCCGTCTTTGTCAACGACTCGTCGGGCCGGGAAGAGGCAATGAGCGCTTTGATGGCGTGGAGCCGAACAAGTTCGCTTGGTATGGATTTACAGTGTTCATCTACGCAGCCATCATCGCTATGGTGTTGCTAGCTTGTATTACCACGCCATTGTATCAAAAAGAATACCTCCGAGAGCACGTGGGGGAAACCCGGTA